CCCCCGCTCCAGGCTGGCTCTGTCCTGTCCACTGCAGGACCCCAGCAGCTCCTTCTTCTGGTCCTCAGAGGCATTGTGTCTGCCCAGCCCGTTTGAGAGCCAAAGCTGGTTGGTGGCCTGGCCAGAGTCAAGCTTACTTCCCACTCTGTCTGCTCCAACTCGCTTTTTGCCCCTCTACACCCCTCGTCCCAAATAGCTGCCAGCCTTTGGTTTGAAAGCATGTGCTCCCTCCTGCTGACCGCCAGCACATGCCTCAGTTCCACAAGGGCCATTCCTTCTCCTAGCTTCGAGGAGAAGACCCAGGAGTGCGCTGAGAGGGCACAGTGGTATGAAGTTCCATCTTTGGAGGGTTTACTTCAACTTTGAACGTCAGCCTTTTCTACTCAGGCTCCCTGAGATATTTCCTGCAAATTAAATTTTCACAGCTCTCCATTGTCCCTTGAGTGGAAGGATGACAACTACAGGGGCTGCCTTCTTTCATTGCCATCCTTTGAACAGTTCTCTTTGCATGCCTATGTGCGAGTAACTGTGCCAGAGGCTGGGGCTGGAGAGGCGACTGGAGCCACCAAGGAGGGAGTGGGCAATTCAGTCTGCGACCCAGCGGTGAGGTTGACGTCTTGGATAGGTGTCTGCTGAGTGAACTAAAGGTACAAGCGGTTAGGAGAGATCGTGGGTGAAGTGCACTGCTCTTTGCATTGAGATGAAGGAAGCCCCATTAGAAAGGCGAGGGAAGGGCTGAGAATTTAGGATTCCCGTGTATTCGTTTTTCGAAGCATGCCTCAGATTAAACAAGTAACACCCACAGTTAATCCTTTATAAATGAGCATCATGGATGCCTTGGGGCCCTCAACCCACAAATAAAATGGTTGTCAACCAGGAGACACGCTACCGGAGAGTACTTAAGGCAGAATTTTAAAGAGTTTTCATGCTTTTAATCTGTTTCACTGCTGGGTTTCAATGTGGCTGATTTCCTTTGCAAGTCTGATGCGGGTGACTGTGGTAAATAGAGATTGTGACAGTGACTTGGGCAAGCAGGATGTGTGGGGACTGTTCTGAAGACATCTGCCCCTTCCAGAGAAAAGGGGGAAAAACTCGATTTGGGTTTTAAATCAAGACACCAAGTAGCACTGAGCAGTGCTCATAATTAGCCTCGTTTTAACAAGCCATGAAGCCCCATTCTTCTTTTTGGGGGGGACAGAAAATCTTCGTGCCTCCCAAGTAAACATGGCCTGTTAAGTGTGAATTAGCTGTCATCGCAGAAGAATTAATGTCGGGGCGCAGCCTTTCTAGTGGGGAAGGGAAGAAATAAACGAGACGGATCTTAGCTGAGCCGTGCGTGATGAATGAGGACCGAGCGGATCATTCATCTCCTTCGAGGAAAGTGGACACAGACACTAAAGCAGTTTTGCGGAAGACGTGTCAGCAAATGCGATCATTTTGTAACCTGTCAGGAGGAAAGGGAGCTAGTCCTTGCAGGGAGCCCCGAGGGAGTGGGCCTGTCTGATGTGACCATCTCCATCCATCCACTTAGGTTTGCGGAAGAAGGGGGTGGGTAAGGAGGAATCCGACTGAAACCACAAGGGTGGCGTCATCCTTCCAAGAAAGAAACTCATCCAGAAGCTAGAAAAGGCTTCCAAAGATTTCTTCTCAAAGACGCAAAGTCAGAGGGTAGAGTCTCTGTTTAACTGAGGGCCTGGCTAGTCCCACCTAGCTCTTCTCATGGACGCCCAGTCCAGTGATCTGTGTCTTGACTAAGACAGCAGATCTTTTTCTGCTTGGTATTCAGAGGATGGGCGGATGGGGTTTGCTGTGGGGTCTTAGCCAGGTGGACAGCCTGCTAAACTGCCAACCAGTCTGTCTCTGTTTCTGTGTGTTTGGTTCTGTGGGAGCGAGCATGGGCGAGGCTGTTTGACCCCGGCTTCCTTTGAAAGTCTCAACAAAGCATTCTGAGGTTCCACCTCTTTTCTCAGAGCGAGGTAACAAATTATGAAACAACTTCATCAGAAGCTTTCTGCAGGCATCCTGGAGCGGGCGTCTCCACTCCCGTTCTCCTGAGTTTGCAGCTCTCCGTCAGGATTTGGCAGAGCCCGAGCTGGGGGGATTGGAGTCCCTGGAGAGGAGGGCCCACCAACCAAAGCACACAAGGCACTCCGGTGCTTTGTATGAGTTCTCATTTCCATCTTTTTTTTTTTTTGCTATGGAGCAAATGTAACATTTCCTCCTGGCGTCACGGAGCGTGAGCCCCAGTGACAGATGACGGTTTCACAGCCTGAGCTGCACGTTTGACACTTGCTTCTTAATCCTGTCCTTTCTTCCCACATGTCTCTTACTTTTCCCCAGGTATTTTCCTACAGGTAGATGGGTACCTTACTGACATGTGTTTCCTTGGAGTCTTTTACCTGAACAGGAAGCACTGCAAAAAAAACGAGGCTTGTCTCACATTTTAAATTAAAAAAGAGAAACTCACATGGGGCCCTTGATCACTTAAAGATTACTACATGGCACTCTGAACCAAGAAAGCCATTTGATTCGCTTTGGCTTCTTTGCAGGAAGCATTTCTCCCGATACAGCGTGACAATCTCTGTGGAGTCATTCATTTCCTCGTGGGTCGTTTGTAGAACCAAAAAGCTGCATGGTCCGACACACACACACACCACCACCACCGCCACCAGACCCCTTACCCCCATCTGTGAGGCTGTCATTTGATTAGCCGACTTGACCTTGGATGATCTGATAGAACGTCCTCTGACGATTTGTGTGATTTTTTTTTTTTCTCTTTGCTGTCTCCTAGAATCATCCAGAACCGCATCCTGGTCGTCATCCTGGCCGTCATTCTGGTCATCACTATCCTGATGGCGATCACTTTTTCTATCAGAAGACACTGATGTATCTGCTCTTCCTTGATAAACAGCAACAACGGCTTGTTCTGAGTAATTAAGACAAAACGGTCACATGAATCATTCTTTTGTGATGACAGGCCCTGAGTGACCTTCCCTCTTTCTCACCGCTGTTCAGCTGAAGTGCAAAGAGTGTAAAAATATTTTTTATTCCTGTTTGCATGTGGGTTGGTTTTCTTTTCTAGGTTTGTCTTCACCCAGATTTGTTTTTTTATAGGGGAAGGCGAATGTTTATTTACCTTTTGGTAATTTCATCTACTGACCAAAATAGCTTTGGTGACATTCTTCCTTGCCCTGTGGACATGTCAGGGGTCATGGCTTGGGAGAAGGCGTGATGAGTCAATCACCGGGGCTTCTGATGGGCTGTGTTGTTTGTCACACACCTCTTGTCACCGAGTTGCCCTTCTGTGATGTCTGAGGTAAAAAATGCAGAGAAAAGCAGGGGCCAGAGCTAGTGGCCGGCTCCAGCAAACCATCCCCGTTACCACCCAGGCATAATGAGTAGAGTCAACCTGCCTGAGTGCTTTCATTGTAAAGGTGGGTATTTAATGTCAGTTGTGCCGGAAATTGACTTAGCACTTTCTCTGTTTTTCTATGCTTATATATATTTCTTTTTTATACCCAAGAATATTTTTGCTGAGCCTGCCCAATATCCACTTTCCACAACTTTGATTACTGGCTACAAGAAATATTTCCTTACCTTCCCAAAATCCCATACTCCCCAGAATTTGCTAGCAAAGTGAGCCCTGACACCGTATTTCATTGTGACCTCCTCTCCCCTGACCTGTGTAAGCATTCCTGTATCCTTTCGGTTTTAATATTTGCACAGCCAAAAGCAGCCCTCATACATGCAAAAGGTCTGACAAGGTTCCCTCCACATCCATTCCAGTATGTAAAGAGGACATGAATATTTCAGGAAGAGCAAGAGCATGACTCCGTCGGTGTGTGAAATTTCAAATGTGATTATAAATATAGTCGAGTCCTATAGGATGATCCACTAGAAATAAACTTTATGGAAAACGTTCACTAACCTCCTTTAAAAGAATAAGGGATTGCCGTGTGTTGCAAAAAGACAGCTTGGGTGTTTTTCCTAACAAATGTCAGCACAGCCTTCCTGAATTCACTATGTATTCAAACCTCTAACATGCTTTGTGATTTTCTTTGGTTTTCTTTCTGTCTGAGGTAACCGGGAATTGCGTTCAAAATGAGTTCATTTATGATCAGGCTTCGAGTTGCCGAAGCTGAGGTCACTTTCCCCCTAGTCATGAAGCAAACTGTGTTTTTCTTCAAGACTTCATAGGCATATACAGCGTCTGGACTATCTTTTGAATATAATTGGAAGCTTCGAATCCTCGAAAAGCAAGCCTGTTCTCTTCATAAAAAATGCTAACCACCTCTGCCCATGGATGGAGATCCCTTGGATGCAGCAGTAGATTTTTTAATTCTTTTTATCCCCAACTCAGAAGAGAACCATTATGGTTTAAGTAGAAAATGCAGAATGGCAAAATCCACCAGAGAAATCGTACTTATCGAAACAGGCCATGGCCTGCATGTGTTCAGATAAATCATTTAGTATTGTGTAAATAGAGCTGCAGCCTTAGCTTCACGGGGATGGTGTGGGATCTTGGCAGAGCAAAGTAGGACCGCGAAGGGGTGGAAAGGCTGTGCTGATGATGCTATCGGCATAAGGGACCCATCTCAGCCAGAATCTTTTATTCTGATAACAGAATCCTGTACGTGCTAAACACATCGAAGAATCCATTAAAAAGCAAGGAAACAAACACCCAGCCTCCTCGTTCTGAAACACTGATGGTGGGCAAGTAGCACCCCAGCCTCTGGTGGCTTCCTTCTACACCACTGATCTTAACTAAAGTGCATAGTGAGTTCTCCAGCTACACCTCACGTTTCCAGATTCTTCCTAAGGCCACCTACCCAGCCGGGTTGATCTGATCATCTCAACTGGCCGGCTCCTAAATATTTCACTACAGCCTTCCGTTCATGTTGAAGTAGATGAAATGAGAAGGAGTGAATGGCTCGTCTCTCAATGGCCTTTTCTTTGGGGTTCTCTCTCTTTATCAGCTCTTGCCTGAGATTTTGCCCCAATTCAGCCTTGAGAGTGGGAAGACTATGAACAGGTAACCCTTAGTCCTACAGCCCCATCAAACCCACCTTGACAGTGACCCTCTAGACTGGGGTAGTGAGTACTTTGTAGGAAGCAGGTCGAAAGTCCCTGGATCCCTTGCCTGGCCCTCCCGAATGCTGCAGGAGACACTCAAAGGAGCCCAAGGGAAGCAAATTGTTCTCCCCCAGCCCCTGCTGCAGTGGAGAGGGAAGAAAGGCCACAAATTCAAAGCAGGTCATAGATCTGTGGCAGGTTCTAGGAACTTAATATGTACACTTCAGTTGATGAATATTTGTAAAGTTGGGAATATTGTTTGATGGCGGAGGGCTGGGGGGAGGGGGGCGGTGATGAAGAATTGGAGGAGGAAGCCCTTGCTATATGAAATTCATGCAGACCAAACAGTTTCCCTGACAGAATAAATAAAGCTGGTGCTACCCTGCTCCAGAATCAAAAGCAATTTAATTAAAGTCTCTTAAGTTGTAAAGAGTTTTAAATGCTGTACGTTGAAGGCGAATGCCTGCGAAGGCAGTGGGCTTGACGTCAGCTGCCAGCCTGGGCTGGGAGGCCATTTGCTATTCTGTTTAAGGCAGGCTGGGTTGTCTTATTTTGGAACCAGCTTGGTGGGGGGTTTGCTTTGCTACTGCTTCTGAGCCCTGAGCTTCAAAGGCTGAAATTAATGGTGAACAAAATTGTGCGGCTCTGGCCGTCCCATGCGGGGCAAGCCCATTGAGGGTTATCATTAAGTAAAGGAATAAAGGAGGGGAAAAAGCCGCCTGTTCCAAAAACCTCATCAGATAATGACCTCAGTGATTGGGTTTTCATTACCAAACAGCATCCAGAGATTAACGGCTCCACAGAAGAAGGGAGGGGGGAGAAAAAGAAAGAAAGGAAAGCAACTGTCTTTCTCTCCCTCTCTTTCTCCTTTTTATTTTTTCCTTTTTTTTTTTTTTTTGCACATCTTTTCTTTAAAACTGTCAGATCATTTCAGTATTTCAAATCCGAGGAAAACAGCCTGCCTGCTGCTGTATTTGAAGTTGTAATGGTGTCAAAAAGTCACGACTGACTGACAGCCGTCAGTCCCAGAGGGGCTCATTAAATCATAAAAACTTGACAAGGAAATAATTGCGCATCACCAGCAACTTGGCGCCTGTTTAGACGTTTTTATTTTCTTTCATTATTAGTCCCCACCATTACGTTCATTAACAAATTGCATTAAACAACTGTTAAGGGCTAATGATTTGTTTATCGCTTTTTTTTTATTATTATTATTTAAACATTAGCTGTGTCATGTGGTACCCCAGCAGCCTCTTGCCATCATCTGACTGAATATTTTTCCACTCCGAGCTCTGGGTACTGTTGGAATATGAAATAGATTATTCATTACTCTCCTCTTTGCCACTGATTTGGTTTCATGTAGCGTCTTCCACAGAGAAAGATGAAAACTTGTCAAAAATAGGTTATATCTTATTCGAAGGGGCAACAATAGCAGCAGGTACAGACACACTTTAATATTTAATTAAGGTTGATGTTAACCCCTTTAAATGACTTTTGCTGTAAGTTCTATTCAAATGCAGAAGAGAAAAATAATTGTTCTTAATTTGCAACCTGTTCAGCAGGCACTCTTCATGGAGTTAGCTGGGAATTTAGAGCAGAATTTTTAAATAATGAAATTTCCCATCATAATTATGTATAGCCATTTGTCTACATAGTTGAGAATTAACTACAAGCAATGATTTCCTCATCTCTTTGGTTTGAACTGCCAGCCTTGTGGGTCACTCGGTGCTTGGGAGTGGAGACGGCTTTCCTGGGAGAAATGCATATCCAGAGCCAAGGACAGTTGGTTGGTTGTGACCGGGGCTGGTTTCAAAGGAACCACTGTGAGTCCTGTGTCTCCGGTCCATTGGCCTCCCCCTTGAGCTGAGTGTGTGGTTGAAGGACTGTGGTCTGGCGTGAGAGTAAGTAGAGACTTCTTAAAAGAACACCTGTGTGTCAGGTCAGCTGGTGCAGGGAGGGTGTGATGAGAGGACGCCTGGGGCATCTCCGTGCAGTCAGTGAGCTCATTGCAAATGGTGCTTCCCTGGTAGACAACAGGAATGATGCTTTGCTGGGACTGACCTTCCACCTTTTTTCCGTTCTGTGAAATTATCAGCTTTTCCATGAGGTATAAGCTTGAGGAGAAAAACTCCATCATTATCATCATTATCATCATCATCATCATCATCCCAAGTCAGAAGTCAGTGGCCTTCTCCATGTGTAACTGCTGGCTGCATCTGGTCACCCAGTTTGATCCGATGGGTTTACGTTACCATGGAAGCCACTCTCAGAGGCTTGGTTCATTGGCATTGCAGGGCTCGGGCATTTTGGTCAATATCAAGGAATGAGGAGTAGCTTTCTCCCAACTTGTTTCTACTCCCACCCACCCATCCCCAGAGAGAACAGCCCCCTTAGACTTCATGGACGTGAAGGGAAGAGATGGCACATGTTCCTTGCCCAGCACAGCATCTCTCAGCATTACCCACCCATGACAGATGGCCCTACAGACAAAGCCAGCCTAGCAGGCATGAGCCGGGTGTGGCCTGGCCTCAAGCCTCATCCATCACTGTGGGCATAGAAATGGCAGACACACCAAGGTCTGGAGGTGGGGAAGTTCTCCAGCCTCCATTTCAATCCATTCCAGATCAGCCCCATGACAACTTGCCACCTTTGGGATGGCTTCCATACCTCAGCAGAAGGCATGCTCAGAGTCATTTTCTTAGATGGAAGGAGAGCTCTATGGTGAGTTTTCCCCAGTAGACTCCCAGCAGAAACACTGGTTGAGACACATCACCAACCCTCAAACTTGACTTGATCCTGTGCTGTAACTCACTAACCTTAAGCTAGACCCCAGAAAATATTCTTGTCTCTATGGCTTTATTCTGCCTGTGGCTCAATCCAGTGGTATCTACCAGAGGCTGTCCACATTATATGACCAGTCAGGTGGCTCTTAGACAAGATGCCATCATTTTTATAAATGGGACAGGTGACTGTGTGGCCAGCTCAGAAAAGTTCTTAAAACCACAGGCATTTCATCCAAGAGGGAAGACTTTTAAGGGTACTTAGGAGCAGCCAGGCCCAGGCAAGAGAAGAGCATATGTGATTGGAGCTTCAAAATGGGGCGACTGAGCCAGGGTCAGTGTCCCCTCCTGTTATGGAAGGAGGAAGACACAGTGAGTGCTGAGAGAGGTTGCACCATCTCTGTTGGAATTCCAAGGCAGTGACAAGGTGGATGCTTCAGAGCCAGCTGACCACAGGCAAGTGGGGCAAAACAAGGATGGTGGAGCAAACCAAGATGGATGCGGCAAAATTAAAATGGTGGGGCAAAACCAAAACGGCAGGATAAGTGTGTTGGGAATGTGTGAGGAGGTGAGGAACAGACGGTGTGCAGGTTAAGGATGGTGGATTCTCCAGCACCAGGGGATAGGAGATGGTTAGTGGGGATCATCCCAGGGAATAGCCAAGAGGGAGGCGCATGGGCATGCGCAGGCCCCACTTCATGTCATCCTGGTCCCATCATTGCCCCCCTTTAGGAGGAGCCAAAGGAAGGGAGAGACAGGGTGATTCTCTCTTAGGACCACCTCCCAAATCTCACACAATCCCTGTTGCCGTGCCTCACGGGGCTCCCAGCATGCCGTGGGGAAGGCACTTCCTCATCCTGAATCACCTCGTTACTCACACTACATAAATAACGAAGGCATCACAGAGTGGGAAAATGCCAAGAAGCAGAGCTCTGGACTGGGATTCTGTGAACTCGTGCACCCCCTCCTTTCCTGCATCCAGACAAGGCCCTTTGGCGTGAATAATAGCTCAGCGGCCCGAAGCCTGTATTGATCTGCTGCACACGCCACTCTGCTGAGAGCTGCCTGGACTTTTCCTGGGGGCAGGACGGGCACCACTCAGTGCAGCCCACCTCCCCCAGCCTCCCCAGATGTGCTCAGGAGGGGACTGTGTGTGTGTGTGGCAGGGGGGGGACAAGGCCCTTCTCCAGCTCAGTGCTCTTTTTTGTCTCAACTTTTTTTGATTTTAACTTATTTTGCCAGGAAAAGTACCTGAGTTGGAGAGAAATGTTTTTGCACAGTGAGGCCCCACAGAGTTGAGAATAAATACATCCTCAGGCTCCAGCTTCTCTCAAGAAGGTTCTGCCAAAGACTCAGGCCACAGAGGCACTCTCAGCTGACATGTGTGGAGGCCTACTGTATACCCAGCGCTGGGCTGAGCACCCTGGCTCACTATACTGTGTTTTCCTGTTAACTTGCCCTGTTTTACACCATCAAAAGGGAGAGGAGCCAAGAACGTGGCTAGAATCTGGCACCTTTGTGGGGGACGGAGGCTGTGGCTAAATTCAGTGGAGAAGCACCGGTCATAGGCTGGTGACATGCAGGGACTGAGGCTTGCCGGCCCCGCCCCCAGAGGCTCTGACCTCACGATCCCCTTCTCTGGACACAAAAGTGGCCAAGGCCTTGGCCTTCTGACAGATGGACAATTGTAAGGTCAGCCTGGCACCTGTGCAGTGACACCCTGTGGGCTGGTGGATACCTGAAGTGCCAACTTTATTTTTATTTTTTTTAAGATTTTATTGGGGAGTTGGGGGAGGGGAACAGAGAAGTTGCTGTCCTTTTGTTCTTCAGTCTAGTTGTGGAGGACGTTGCTTCACTGGCCCATGTTGGTGTTATCATTGCGCTCTTCCTGGCTGAGGCAGTCACTCACCGGCCATTGGATGGTGACTCATGACAGCTCGCAAAAGCTCATGCCTGCTGCTGGCCAGCCCCACTGCAGCCCCATTGCAGCCTATGCCATCACTGGTGACTCATGGCAGCTCAGGTCCAGGTCAAACTGTCGTTCACCATCTTAGCTGTAGAGGGCGCAGCGTCATTGGCCCTCATGTGGGATCCAAACCGGGGCCCTGCTGCTCAGAGCTGGCGTCCCAAGCCAACTCCTAACCAACATGCCACTCGGCCAGCCCTGAAATCCCACCTTTAAAGATTCACTCCTTTGGTTTCTGACTTTAAACCCTGGGAAAATACTGATTCATTTTCTCCAGACAGCTTCAGTCCCATCAACCTCTGATCCTTCTGGGTCATTTGTCTGACCCTTTCCTGAGGGTAGATTTGGGGTTTGGGGGAGGAGAGACCCACCACGTGAGGGAGCAGTTAGTGGTCTCTGGGAGAAGGGATAGAAGGAAAGGGGGCTTTGGTTCCCTGCAGCCAGCTCCCTGGAGGTTTCTCCTGGGAGCAGCTGCCATTTGGGGTATGACTGCATTTCCAGGGACACAGCTTTGCCCTAGAAGCCCCCACACACTGAGGCCAAGGCAAGTTCTGAGAACACATAGGCTCTGCCAAGGAGAAGTAGCTGCTTAAGGATAAGGGTCCAAGGCAGCGGGTGGAGTGAGAACAGTTAAGCTTGGGACCCAGCAGACTGCTTCCCTCCATGAGCTGCTCCAGCCTTGTCTCGTCCCGGCCCTGCTGAGGGTCCGAGGAGGCCAAGGCCACCACAGTGCACAATTTGGCATTTGGGGAAGAACCCACAATGGATCGTTTATGCCCTGAGCAGACCCTCCCCACACTGCACCATCCACATTGTGACCATCAGAGCTTTCTCCGCTTAATTCCCATCTCTTCTTCATCCAAGCCTACCCCTCCCAAGAAATTCCAGAGCGAGGAGAACTAGATGGCTTCAATGAACTCATTACTGCCCCCCAAGACTTCAAAATCATCACACCTTCCCCTGCTTGCAGCATGAGAGGTGTGATCAGATTTATTCATCTATTTAATAAATATTTATTGAGTAGCTATTATGTTCCAGGTCCCAAAGACACGCGGTAAAGAAGACAGATAAGAGAACAAGGAAAGTAGTCTCACAGCTCTGGGGCTCGCGGTCAGCAAGCCGTTTCATTCCCAGTGCCCTGACTTGCTGTCTGATCGCAGGGTGTGGGAATCAAGTTTGGAAGCCCCTGCCTCTGCTGCCTTGTGCTGCTGCCACTGCGATGACCGCCCCACCTCCACGCTGTGCCCAGCTAACCCTCTCCAAGCAATAGTGCTGTGTGTTCAATCCTCCTGGCAGTTCCATGACTACATTTGCAAAACTGGCCCGTGGGAGTCCAAGTTCAGTTGACACTTGCCTGCAACTGGGTAAGCTCTATCACCATTGGCTCCTTGTCCAGGACCAGCCCAGAAGAGGCAGGGGACAGGAATGGGGACC